TTTTCTTCTAGTGTTTTTACAGTTTCAGGTCTTATGTGTAAGCCATTAATCTATTTTGAGTTGGTTGTTTATATAGTATGAGAAAGGCAACAAGAGGTCCAGAGTTTATCACTTTTGTATATAGGGAGGTTAGATCTGGTGATATGGTTTGTTCTGTGTTTCCCACCTAAATCTCATCTTGTAGCTCCCATAATTATCACATGTTGTAGAAGGGACTCAGTGGGAGATGACTAAATCGTGGGGACAGGTCTTTCCCATGCTACTCTCATGATAGTGAATGCGTCTCTCAAGATCTGATGATTTTAAAAAAAAGAGTTTCCCTGCATAAGCTCTCTTTTTGCCCACTGCCATCTATGTAAGATGTGACTGACTTGCCCTTCCTTGCCTTCTGCCATGATTATGAGATCTCCCCAGCCACATGGAACTGTAAGTTCAATAAACTGTTTTCCTGTATGAATTACAGGAAAAAAATACTCTGGATTTTGTTATATTCCATCAAAGCGTGTTGGTGTTTTTGCTTTAGCAGCCAATTAATTTGGTTCTACTCAAATGTTCGACTCTTTCTCTCTTGAGCAGAAGCTCAAATATCACGTCAGTTCTTTTATTTTTAGCAGAGGTGCTTCTCATCTTCCCTACACATGCATAGTTCATGGGTCACCCAAACCCTAGGACAGAATTTACACTGAAATTTAGGGTTCCCTCTCTCTGACTTTTCCTTTCTAGGATTCACTCCTAACTTTGCAGTGACTGTGTTTGCCCTGAACTCTGTCCTCTGGTTCTATAGGCCAAAAAGACTACAGATTAAAAAAAAAAAAAAAAAAGCAATAAAAAAACAAACAAACAAAAAGAAAGACTACAGATTTTCCATCTGGGTTTTAGTCATGCTTTATGTTAATATAGACACTGCTGTTGTATAGGAAAAACCAAACTATTTTCTCAAACTGTTTTCTCTTACACAGCACTTCACTCAGTCCTTCTGACTCCACATGGCTGGAGCTTGTTTCCACATATACCAAGCAACCAGTTCTCCTACAGATTCTCCAGTGGACACCAGCTGGGTGTCCCCAGATGAAACGCAACTCTTTAATATAATTCAATTTTGACACTGTCTATCTACCTGGAGATAGCATCAGATTCCACAGGTTAAGGGCTCAATCTCAAAAACTGCCTTCTGCTTCAGATGCCAGTCATGACTTCTGGCCACACTGTATATTGGGAGTTCCCAAGGCCCCCTACTCAGATTTGATTAATTTGCTAGCTTGGTTAATAGAACTCAGGGAAGCACTTTACTCACCTTTATCCATTCATTATAAAGAATATTACAGGGGATACAGATGAACAGCCACATGGTAGAGAGCCATAGGGCAGGGTTTGCGGGAAGGAGCACAGAGCTTCCATGCCTTCTCTTGGGCACCACCTTCCAGGAACCTCCGTGTGTCCACCTATCCAGAATCCCTACCCTTAAATCCATCTTTTGGGGTTTTTATGGGGCCTTCATTTCATAGGTATGATTGATTACATCAATGGCCATTGGTATTCAACTTAACCTTCAGCCCTCTCATTTCCTTAGAACTTGAGGGGTGGGGTTGAAATACTAGCTCCCATTCTGAAGCCATCTAGGGGTCTCCACCACCAGTAGCTTCCATTGCACCAGCAGGTTGGTCTCCTTCCAAGTAGCTGGGATTACACCCGGCTAATTTTATTTTTCGGGTTCCACCATGTTGGCCAGGCTGGTCTCAAACTCCCATCCTCAAATAATCTACCCACCTTGGCCTACCAGAGTGCTGAGATTACAGTCATTAGCCACTGCACTCAGCTTCAAGATAACCTTTTTTAAATTCCAAGGATTTTAGGAGCTGAATGTCAGGAAATGGAAAGACCAAATGTATTAGTCTGTTCTCACGCAGCTGATAAAGACATATCTGAAACTGGGTAACTTATAAAGAAAAAGGCCAAGCATGATGGCTCACTCCTGTAATCCCAGCACTTTGGGAGGCCAAGGCGGGCGGATCACCTGAGGTCAGGAGTTTGAGACCAGCCTGGCCAAGATGGTGAAGCCCCATCTCTATTAAATATACAAAAAATTGGCTGGGTATGGTGGCACGTACCTGTAGTCCCAGCTACTCAGGAGGCTGAGGCAGGATAATCGCTTGAACCTGGGAGGCAGAGGTCACAGTGAGCCAAGATTGTACCACTGCACTCCAGCCTGGGTGACAGAGTGAGACTCCGAATCATAAAAAAGAAAAGAAAAAGAGGTTTAATGGACTCACAGTTCCATATGGCTGGGGAGGCCTCATAACCTTGGTGAAAGGTGAAAGGCATGTCTTAGATGGCAGCAGGGAAGAGAGAATGAGAGCTAAGCGAAAGTGGTATCCCCTTATAAAACCATGAGATCTCATGAGACTTACTACCATGAGAACAGTATGGGGGAAACCTCCCCATGATTCAGTTATCTCCCACTGGGACCTCACACAACACATGGGAATTATGGGAGTACAGTTCAAGATGAGATTTTTGGGTGGGGACACAGCCAAACCATATCACCAAATATATATTTCACGGTATCACAGGCACCCACATCAGCCTTCTCTCTAGCTAAAAGTCAATGAAAACAAACTCACCAAGTGCCATTTTTTGTTCCAAGATTCACCCCTCCCTTTCTCCACTCTCCCCTTCCACCACCTCAGGAACCTAAATGCCTTCAGGTCATTGATTTCATGAGAGAACGAGGTGGAGAGGGAATTTAGAGTTTAACGTTGTGATCAAACAGATGGTTGGCTCTAACTTAAGGAGCCATGCCAGAAGCAGAAATTCCACATAGAAAGTTGAGGAAATTTCTTTTTTTCTTTCTTTCTTTTTTTTTTTTTTCCTGAGACAGAGTCTCACTCTGTTGCCCAGGCTGGAGTACAGTGGTGTGATCTTGGCTCACTGCGACCTCTGCCTCCCGGGTTCAAGCGATTCTCTTGCCTCAGCCTCCCGAGTAGCTGGGATTACAGGTGCATGCCACCAGACGGGATCTTAAAGGTTATAGAGTTAGAGTCAAGTTCATATGGGACTCAGGACTCCTGATTCTAGGACCATTGTTCATGATAGTAGTTTTCATCTACAGTCTTCAGTTTGCTTACACAGGAGAATATAGAAATCTCTCATTATATCTGGGTCCAAGCCACAATCCCTGGGGTTATCTTTTAACATAGCCACAAGGAAGCCATCACCTCAGTCATTCTTCTGCTTCTTTCCTGAGCAGGGCAGCAGAGTGGCAGATGTTCTTGGCCACTTGTGCCAGGCCAACCAAGGTTCCTGGAGTATCAACCAGATGTCAAAATAAAGACTCAGCTATACACGTCCTTTCCCACCAAAAAGGTCCATTTGTTGCATCATGCCTCTCTATATAAGCTTTGTTTCTAGGAAAGGTTCCACTGCTGAAAAACAAAACCAAAGGTTTGAAAATTCACTGTGTCTATCCAACTTTGTGCCAACTTTTTTTAAGAGACAGGGTCTCACTCTGTCACCTAAGCTGGAGTACAGTGGTATGATCATAGTTCACTGTAACCTCAAAATCCTGGGCTCAAGCAATCCTCCCACTTCAGCCTCCTGAGTATCTAGGACTACAGGCATGTGCCGCTATGCCTGGCTAATTGTTTTAATTTTTAATTTCTGTAGAGACGGGGTCTTGCCATGTTGCCTCAGCTGGTCTCAAACTCCTGGGATAACAGGCATGACCCAGCACACATAGCCCCTGCCAATATTTAAATCCTCTAACATTACTTCTAAGTGACTTGTGTGTCCAGCCTTTGTTGTGAGCACTTCCAGTAACACAGACTTTGCCTTTTTTCCTCTGTGGTTTCTCTCTTCAGTCTTCCCTCCCCAGCTTCCCAAGACCCAACAAAGGCTTTTTTGTCTGTTTCTCTTCAATGGCAGAATTTTAGCAAAGCTCATTGGGAGGAAGAGCTGACTGAATTTCAGCTGCTAAGTGTTGCTTTTCTTTGATGAGCATTTCAAATGGACCTTTTTGGTGGGAAAGGACGTGTACAGCTGAGTCTTTATTTTGACATCTGGTTGATACTCCAGGAACCTTGGTTGGCCTGGCACAAGTGGCCAAGAACATCTGCCACTCTGCTGCCCTGCTCAGGAAAGAAGCAGAAGAATGACTGAGGTGATGGCTTCCTTGTGGCTATGTTAAAAGATAACCCCAGGGATTGTGGCTTGGACCCAGATATAGTGAGAGATTTCTACATTCTCCTGTGTAAGCAAACTGAAGACTGTAGATGAAAACTACTATCATGAACAATGGTCCTAGAATCAGGAGTCCTGAGTCCCATTATGAACTTGCCTCTAACTCTAAAACCTTTAAGAAATCCCGTCTGGTGGCATGCACCTGTAATCCCAGCTACTCGGGAGGCTGAGGCAAGAGAATTGCTTGAACCCGGGAGGCAGAGGTCGCAGTGAGCCAAGATCACACCACTGTACTCCAGCCTGGGCAACAGAGTGAGACTCTGTCTCAGGAAAAAAAAAAAGAAAGAAATTTCCTCAACTTTCTATGTGAATTTTTCCACTGAAAAGGGACAGGTTTCATGGATAGCTACAAACTAAATGGAGGAAATGTGCATGTGGAGGCATACGGAGGAAAGAGAAGCCATCAAAACTGAGAGTGATTTGTTTATATAGACAGTGGCTAGTATAGAAATCACTGATTGATTCATTTATGTCAAGTACTCAGCCTTTCCTGATGTCTTCAGGGTAACTCTCATTCACCTTTGTCTCTTTGAGGGGCAGAGTTTTAGAAGTATTTGCTTATATCAAGACAAATGTTACACAGTATTTTGAGTTGGCTTACTCTCCAACAAAGTCTATCTATGCCTCTTCTGCTCTTTACCACCCACTCTCCTGATAAGAAAACATAAAACAAACAAAAGTAAAACATGCTCTCCACTTGTTGCTTTTGCCTTGTTGATGCATTCACTTCTCATATTTACAAATTTTTTTATTTTATTTTTCAGAGTCAAAAGCAACAAATACCACCTTAGGTCTTCGGACATTTTTTCTCAGGAATCCCGATGATAAATATGAACCATTTTGGGAGGATGAGGAGAAAAACAAAAGTGTGTTAACTGAATATAGATCAATCTCCATCAATAAAAGCCGTCTTCTTCAAAAACCACTTCCTGCGTTCATCTCAGAAGATGCCTCCGGATATCTGACCAGCTCCTGGCTGACACTCTTTGTCCCTTCCGTGTACACGGGTGTATTTGTGGTCAGCCTCCCACTAAACATCATGGCCATCATTGTGTTCATCCTGAAAATGAAGGTCAAGAAGCCGGCGGTGGTGTACATGCTGCACCTGGCCACTGCAGACGTGCTCTTTGTGTCTGTGCTCCCCTTTAAGATCAGCTATTACTTTTCTGGCAGTGATTGGAAGTTTGGGTCTGAATTGTGTCGCTTCGTCACTGCAGCATTTTACTGTAACATGTATGCCTCCATCATGCTCATGACAGTCATTAGCATTGACCGGTTTCTGGCTGTGGTGTATCCCATCCAGTCCCTCTCCTGGCGTACTCTGGGAAGGGCTTCCTTCACTTGTCTGGCCATCTGGGCTTTGGCCATTGCAGGGGTAGTGCCTCTGCTCCTCAAGGAGCAAACCCTCCAGGTGCCCGGGCTCAACATCACCACCTGTCATGATGTGCTCAACGAAACTCTGCTTGAAGGCTACTATGCCTACTACTTCTCAGCCTTCTCTGCTGTCTTCTTTTTTGTGCCGTTGCTCATTTCCACAGTCTGTTATGTGTCCATCATTCGATGTCTTAGCTCCTCCACGGTTGCCAACCGCAGCAAGAAGTCCCGGGCTTTGTTCCTGTCAGCTGCTGTTTTCTGCATCTTCGTCATTTGCTTCGGACCCACAAACATCCTCCTGATTGCTCATTACTCGTTCCTTTTTCACACTTCTACCACAGAGGCTGCCTACTTTGCCTACCTCCTCTGTGTCTGTGTCAGCAGCATAAGCTGCTGCATCGACCCCCTGATTTACTATTACGCTTCCTCTGAGTGCCAGAGATACCTCTACAGTATCTTATGCTGCAGAGAAAGTTACAATCCCAGCAGTTTTAACAGTAGTGGGCAGTTGGTGGCAAGTAAAATAGATACCTGCTCTAGTAACCTGAATAACAGCATATACAAAAAGCTGTTAACTTAGGAAAAGGGACTGCTGGGAAGTTAAAAAGAAACGTTTATAAAAGTGGATAACTTGAGGATTCTATTAGTCCCTGCCCAAACTGTATTGACTTCACCTCCTAAAAGAACAGATGTATGACTTGCATACCTGCTTTTTATGGGAGCCATCCAGCATCTGTTTTTGTTAATAACCAGAAAGATAACAGGATTAGAAGACCGTGTTATTCCAAGGGTATATTGCCAATGCTACAGTAATAACTGAATGTCACTTTTGGATATAGCTAGGTGACATATATATATTTATATGTGTGTATGTATGTAGATGTATACATCACATATATTATTGCAGTGCAGTTTAGAATAGGCACTTTGAAACCCTCTTTTCTTCCCTCCCAGCAATTATAGAAATAATCTCTGATTCTCTGATTTAAGTCTAGGTTGGTAGAGTTTAACCCTGAACATTTGAAGATGTTTATCAACAGTGAGAGACTCCATAGTTTGGGCTTGTACCACTTTTGCAAATAAGTGTATTTTGAAATTGTTTGACAGCAAGGTTTAAGTTATCAAGGGATAAGACTTAGTACTATCTGTGTGTAGAAGTTCTAGTATTTTCAGTTTTAAACAAATCCAAGTTTGAATTCCTAAAATTATGGAAACAGTTGAAAACCCCTGTTTTGATATGGGTAGTATTTTTTACATTTTGTACACAGTATACATAAGCCAAGACTGAGCCTAAGTCCTCTAGTGAAGGTACACTGGCTTTCAGAGTAGCCTATTCCTGAGAGCTTCTAGCGTCTGCCCCCGATGGAGGACTCAGAGCAGCAGACACATGCCTGGGCCGTGTCAGACACAGATTGGCCAGAAACCCTCCCGCTGAGCCTCTCAGAAAGCAATGAGACTGGGGCCACCACATTTGCCCTCCTTCCCCATGGGATCGGCTGTGAACTGATCATGTTTATGGAAACTGGCAAAGCAGAATGTGATATCCTAGGAGGTAATGATCGTGAAAAACTTCTCTACCCATCTTAAAAACAACGAAAGAAGGCATGGACTTCTGGATGCCCATCTACTGGGTATAAACATATTCAGTAGTTGTCTTGAAAGGTCAGTTCTGATATGGAAGCACCCATTATGTGCTATGGGCACTCAGATAGATGCTGGGTGTACAGAATGGAATAAGACTGAGACCTGCCCTCAGACGCAAAGTAGATGATGCATAGAGTGTGATGTATGTGTAGTAAATGTTTCACACAAGCAAGGCCTGTCAGCTAAAGAATTTTGAAAATTTGGGTTCCTATTTCTTGTGGTTATAACTTAGTGAAAACATAATCCAATACAAGACATATATTTTGTTAAATAAGTCTGATTTAATTGGGCACTATGTATTTACAAATGTGTTGTTCAATAGATTGCTCAAATCAGGTTTTAAGAATCAGTCATGTCAGTCTGCTTAGAAATAACAGAAGAAGACTGGGTGCAGTGGTTCACTCCTGTAATCCCAGCACTTTGGGAGGCCAAGGCAGGCGGATCATGAGGTTAGGAGTTCAAGACCAGCCTGACCAACATGGTGAAACCCCATCCCTACTAAAAATACCAAAAGAATTAGCCAGGTGTGGTGGCACATGCCTGTAATTCCAGCTACTCAGGAGGCTGAGGCAGGAGACTTGCTTGAACCCGGGAGGCAGAGGTTGCAGTGAGCCAAGATTGCGCCACTGCACTCCTGCCTGGCCAACAGAGCAAGACTCCATCTAAAAAAAAGAAGAAGAAGAAGAAAAGAAAGAAATAACAGAAGAAAATGGAATTAGCATTGAAATCTAGGAAAATTATTCTATGATTTTAAAATCATTTTTTAACCTCCTCAGTATCAAGTATAGAAAATCTTCATGGAATTCACAAAGTAATTTGGAAATTAGGTTCAAACATATCTCTTTTTTCTTGTGAAAAAATGGTAGCATTTTAAACAAAATAGAAGGTTGCAAGACAAATTTACCTATTTAAAAAGAGCAAACTTGCTGGGCGTGGTGGCTCACACCTGTAATCCCAGCACTTTGGGAGGCCGAGGCAGGAGGATCATGAGGTCAGAAGATCAAGACCATTCCGGCCATGGTGAAACCCTGTCTCTGCTAAAATACAAAAAATTAGCCGGGCGTGGTGGCACATGCTTGTAGTCCCAGCTACTCAGGAGGCTGAGGCAGGGGAATCACTTGAATCCAGGAGACAGAGGTTGCAGTGAGCCGAGATCATGCCACTGTACTCCAGGCTGGTGACAGAGCAAGACTCCGTCTCAAAAAAAAAAACTATTTCTAAATACCGTAGAATAACTTACATGAGATATAACTGTATTGTAAGTAGAAGCTAGCACTGGTTTTATTAATTTAGTGACTATATTCATTTTATCTAAATCAGTGTAGGTTTACTGTCATTGTTTATTAGTCTGTATAAAAATATGCTGTCATTACTGTACTTGTAAAATAGTATGTCACTGTTTTTGTGTTCACTCTTAAAAATGTAACCTATAGGCGGGGCACGGTGGCTCAAGCCTGTAATCCCAGCACTTTGGGAGGCCAAGGCGGGTGGATCACAAGGTCAACAGATCGAGACCATCCTGGTCAACATGGTGAAACCCCATCTCTACTAAAAATACAAAAATTAGCTGGGCATGGTGGCGTGTGCCTGTAATCCCAGCTACTCAGGAGGCTGAGGCAGGAGAATTGCCTGAACCCAGGAGGCGGAGGTTGCAGTGAGCCGAGATCGCGCCATTGTATTCCAGCCTGGGTAACAAGAGCAAAACTCCATCTCAAAAAAAAAAAAGAAAATGTAACCTATATTAATAAATGTGATCATTTGCTTGGCATCTCTTTGGAATAAATTAGTATTGTATCTTTCTGGTCCTGGCATACTTTAAGGGGTTAACTGAAGAGCATTTAATAAAGAGGTGATTTGCAGAGGTATGGACAGGGTTAAAGGAACCAACAGGGAGTGGTGAAGCACCCCCAGAGACTAGCAATCAGGGGAAGCTGTTACTGCCCTCAAGGCCCAAGTAGAGGAGGGAGCACACTGATCCCTCTCCCTTACCCTCTGATCTCTTGCGAGGCCTCCCCTTGACCCTAATCGTAACCCAAAACTTAGTGGTGAATTCGTCCATAAAGATCAGCTTCCTTGAGCATGGAGAATGGATCTGGGAGAAGAAATACATGAGGGAAAAAAAAAAACCAGCACCATTTCTGCCAAAGACATTGAGTGATTCTCTCGCTCTCTTAATCCCTTCTTAGGAAAATTTAACCTTATTGAGGATATGCTCATCTTTCTGAGTTATAGATATGGGTAGTGTCTGCAGTTCTTTCCTAGTGAGAGAAAAATTAAATGTCAGAGCAGAAAGGAAATCCATAGAAGGGCTGTGCTGTCTTCTCTGGCTGAATGGCAGTCCTTTGCCATCTAGCACTCCCTCAGGCAGAAGGGAAGAGGGCAAATTTAAAGGAAGATGACTAGTACTTCTCAGGGTTGAAAATCAAAAAATTTTTTGTACATTGTATCTAGATGCATAGTCAATGAAAATTGTTTTCGCTAAACAAGGATTTTGTTAACAGAATTTTTATAAGTTAACACAAGCTCTTTAAGTTTCTGAGGTCTGGATTCTTCACGTGTGTTTCAAGGAATGGACTTAGTTCAAAAAACACTTAAATTTTGCTAATACTTTTTGGCAGGCACAGTGGCTCACACCTATAATGCCAACACTTAGGGAAGCTGAGGCTGGAGGATCATTTCAGGCCAGGAGCTTGAGACCAGCCTGAGCAACACAGTGAGACCCAGTCTCAATAAAAAAATTAAAAAATAACCTGGCATGGTGGCGCTGTGGTCCCACCCCCTCAGAAGGCTGAGGTAAGAGGATCATCTGAGGCCTGAGGCTGCAGTGAGCCATGATCACACCACTGCACTCCAGCCTGGCCAACAAAGTGAGACCATGTCTCCAAAAGAAAAAGAAAAAAATCTTTTTTCCATGAAGCCAAAAATAGCATTTTTAAGGAAATGGAATGCTTGGCTATTGAATATACACTGGGAAAATTTTACGTTATACTTCTGAATTTAAGAAAGTAAACTGTTGACATGTCTTTGAAGAAGATGAGCTACAGAAACAAGTGGAAAAAATGAAGCAGCATTGATGGTCAAGCTATTTACATTTCCGGGGCCTAGACCATCCACTAGTAGCTTGTCTTCAGCCAGGTGCTGTCGTGAAAATTAAGGGGGAAAACAAACAGGTCACCAATGGTGATTTTCTAGCATAAATACCATGTTGTGTGGCTATGCCTTTCAAAATTACTGGACCAAATGTGTGTGGAGAGTGATTGACCACAAGATAAACGTAATTGTGTTTTGTGAAGGAGGTGTGGTTAAGTGAGCTGCAATGTGAGAAGAGAGGAGAAATTCTCCAATGCAGTTATTCTTAGAATTCCTGAGACTCTTTCGGATCTGCAAGGTCAAAACTCTCCTAAAACACCAAGATATTATTTGCCTTTTTTGGTCTGATGCTCTCACAAGTGGACAGATGAGTTTTCCAAAAGCTACACAACAGGTGAAAATGCAACAGAGTGAGTGCAGAAGCAGAGATGAGAATCTGTCTCCCGTTACACCAGTCATTAAAGAGATTGCACAAATGGAAAACAATGCAACTCTTCAGAGTCCTTAAATTATTGTTTTGGGGGAAAAATTACGAAAAATATAGTCTTTATTTTAACATGTAGTAGTTTTATTGTCATTTTTAGCTGGCATAAAGGTTTTCAAAAGTTCTCCATTTTCATGTCTAATATGGAAAATATCAGTAGATAAAATCATTGGCAGCAGGGTGCAGTGGCTCAAACCTGTAATACCGACACTTTGGGAGGCCAAAGCGGTCAGATCACAAGGCCAAGAGTTCAAGACTAGTCTGGGCAACATGGGTAAATCCCATCTGTACTAAAAATTAAAAAAAATTAGCCAGGTATGGTGGTGCACATCTGTAATCCCAGCTACTCAGGAAGCTGAGGCATGAGAGTCACTTGAGCCTGGGAGGCAAGGGTTACAATGAGCCAAGATGGCACCACTGTACTCCAGCCTGGGTAACAGAGCACAACTCTGTCTCAAAAAAAGGGAAAAAAAAAATCAGCAATGTGCTGCTAAATGGAATCTACACACACACACACACACACACACACACACACAGTCTGATCTGTAGCATTTGCCAGTTCTCATGGTGTGAATACTGCTTCCTTTGCCAGTTTTAAACTCCCAACACTTTTAACAGTTGGCTTGAAAAAAATTCCTGAATACTGAATTCTTGTGTGCAGATACAAGTTGACTCCAGTACACCAATGGATGCAACCACATGAACAAAGGCTCTTTGCTGGTCTTCAATAATTTTAAGTGTATTAAGATGTTATGAGCTAAAGAAGTGTGAAAACCACTGCCCTTATCCAAGATTTCCCAACTTTATTGACTTGAAGAAAACAGAGAGGGGTCCAAAGTGGCTCCCGCCGGAGGTCATGGCGCTCGCGAAGGCGAGGTCATCAGTTCAAGGCTAACCTGAGCAACCTCATAAGCTCAAACTGATTGGCAAAAAAAAAAAAAAAAAGAAAACAGAGAAACTGGTAATGATTGCGAAAGCACAAAAGCAAATAGGAGTAAAGAATTAGCTTACAGCTGCAGGCACTACTCTGGGTTTCTGGCTGTTTCAGAGCTGAGGGGCTCCAATTTGTGAAGCAAGAAACTGATTCAACGGCAGGGTGCAGTGGCTCACAGCTATTATCCCGACACTTCGGGAAACTAAGGCAGATGGATGGCTTGAGCCCAAGAGTTTGAGACCAGCCTTGCCAACATGGCAAAACCCCGTCTCTACAAAAAATACAAAAATTAGCCGCGCATGATGGCACATGCCTGTAGTTCCAGCTATTTGGGAGGCTGAGGCGGAAGGATGGCTTAAGCCTGGGAGGCAGAGGTTGTAATGAGCCAAGATGGCGACACTACATTCCAGCCTGGGTGACAGAATAAAGACCCTGTCTGGAGCCGGGAAGAGAGGAGGGGAGGGGAGGGGAGAACAGAAGAGAAGGAGAAATGAAACTGATCAAGTCATCAGGTATGGTGTGGTCCACAGATCAGGAAGCTCTGTGTGAGGTCTGATTTTCAGCCAGCTGTTGTATAAAGGAGAGAGGCTCTTCCTAAGCAAAGTTTCAGACCAGAACACCAAGAGACAATTCAGAACAGCAGTGGCATCCCTGTAAAGTGAAACTCAAGCTCCAAGTTTCTTGTCATGGGGACTGTTAATTGCATGCTAGTTTCTGGAAACACACGAAAAACCAAAGGTCAGATTCAACAGCGTCTCAGAATTCAGATAACACAGTATGTATGGTTTCAACCCAGCAGGCTCTGTGTTTATCACTTCAGGAAATGATTCATAAACTGTAAGAAGATTAGCTTTGAAAGCTGCATCTGGCCAAGTGCAGTGGCTTGCGCCTGTATTCCCAGCCCTTTGGGAAGCAGAGGCAGCAGATAACCTGAGGTCAGGAGTTCGAGACCATCCTGGCCAACGTGGTGAAACCCCTGTCTCTACTAAAGATACGAAAATTAGCCGGGCATGGTGGTGCATACCTGTAGTTCCAGCTACTCAGGAGGCTGAGGCAGGAGAATCGCTTGAACTTGGGAGTCAGAGGTTGCAGTGAGCCGAGATTGCGCCATTCCACTCCAGCCTGGGCGACAAGAGTGAGAGACTCGGTCTCAAAAAAAAAAAAAACAACTCAGATTTAGAATTTTAGCAGCTCTGCCTTGTTTGTAACAAGTTTTAGAAAGGAAATCAATTCTCAACTCTGGCTGCCCATAGAATCACTGGAGAGTGTCTAAACAGTTCCATTGCTAGTCTCTAGGGGTGGCTCTTGGAAATCGACATTGTTTTCAAGCTCCTCAGAAGATTCTAATGTGTAAACCAGGGTTGGTACTAAGAAAAAAAATCCCTCAGCAGTCTGAGCCATGCGAGGTGTGCAGATTTTATCAGGCCCAGAGAGAGAGGAGTAAGGGACTTCAGGCACGCCGCTGGCACATACCCTCCTCCCACCCACTGCCCCCCCATGCCTGAGGGCAATTGTTTAAAGTCATTTTGTTCCTGGTGGTGTGGCAGCTCATGCCTGGAATCCCAACACTTTGGGAGGCTGAGGCAGGAGGATAACTTGAGGTCAGGAGTTTGTAACCAACCTGGTCAACATGGTGAAACCCCAACTCTCCTAAAAATACAAAAATTAGCCAGGCACGGTGGCATGCTCATGTAGTCCCAGCTACTTGGGAGGCTGAGGCAGGAGAACATCTGAACCCAGGAGGCCAGGAGGTGGAGGTTGCAGTGAGTCAAAATGGTGCCACTCCAGCCTGGGCAATGGAGAGAGACTCCTTCTCAAAAAAAAAAAAAAGACAAAGCCATTTTGTTGCTGCCTTCCCTGTTATCTTCATGTTCCTGGAATCTATGATACAAAGAACAACAGATGTGAAGCCAATCAACAGTTTATGTTATTTTAATGTAAATTTTGATAAACAACTTACAAACTGCCCCTTTTCCTTTTTTTTTTTTTGTTTTTTTTGAGACAGAGTCTTGCTTTGTCGCCAGGCGCCAGGCTGGAGTGCAGTGGCGTGAGCTCAGCTCACTGCAACCTCCGCCTTCCAGGTTCAAGCAGTGCTCCTGCTTCAGCCTCCCAAGTAGCTGGGACTACAGGTGCGCACCACCACACCCAGCTAATTTTTGTATTTTTTTAGTAGAGATGGGGTTTCACCATGTTGACCAGGACAGTCTCAGTCTCTTGACCTCATAATCCACCCACCTCAGCATCCCAAAGTTCTGGGATTACAGACATGAGCCACTGTGCCTGGCCATCCC